CAGGTTTTTTGGTACATAATTCTATATTTGTAAATTCTGCTTTCATGATAAAGAGATTGCACTACAATACTTGTATTAGGTGAATTAAAAAATACTATTTCTTTTGTTTTTTTTACTGTGCAAATACTTGTAATCAAAAATAAATATAAAGTGAGTTCTGTATGCTTTGTATTCTGTGTTGTAATTGAAATCAATATATTAAAATGTAGAAAACATCAAAAAATAAATAAATGGTATTCTATTAATGTTTAACATTGTGATTAATCGAGATTTTTTTTAATTGTGTGATTAATCGCAATTATTTTTAATAGCTTGACAGCCCTAAATGACTATATATCATAATTAATTATACTTAATTATATCTATTTTAATTTGTTAAATTTTATTTATATATAGTACCTGTCGTAATATAAACTTTAAAAGCTTGATGATTTTAAATTTCCTGGCTTCTTTCATTAAAAATCCTTTAGAAATTTCTTTCATGTTTCTACGTCTGGTGAATAAGTTGTATAAAGAAGCTATTAACTAATTCCCCATGTAATAATTATTCCAGCAGATATTGAAGTATTAAGAAAATAAACATATTTGATCCTATAATATTGCCATGCCATTGTTCACCTTAAGATGACATCAGGCTATTTATAATAAGGAATGCTTATATTTTGAAATGTAAAATAGTTTCAGTTAAGGAGTAATAAATTTACAAAGCTTAATAGAAAGCATCAGGTTCCCTCACTTCTGAGCACTATAGCCCTAATCGAAAGCCCATTTCAGTCAATGGAAAAACTCTCATTAACATCAGTGGTCTTTGGATAAGACCTTATGGGACATAAATTATTTTCACTTTTATTTAAAACTCTTCTTAAAATATTTTATTGTTTTTGTTGTTTTAGCATCTAAAGCAGGGGCGGGCAAACTTTTTGGCCTGAGGGCAGCATTGGGTTTCGTAAATTGTTTGGAGGGCTGGTTAGGGGATGGGGTCGTGGCCCAGCCCCCACCACCTGTCTGGCCCCCCATCCGGGACTCCTGCCCTATCCACCCTCCTGCTCCTTGTCCCCTGACCGCCCCTGGACCCCTACCGCCCCATCCACCCCCTCCTCTCATTCCTGACAGCCCCTCTGGAACCCCTGCCCCATTC